ACAGGTGGATCTCCTGTACAAAGCTGTGTTCAACAGGAGCAACAGGTGGATCTCCTGTACAAAGCTGTGTTCAACAGGAGCAACAGGTGGATCTCCTGTACAAAGCTGTGTTCAACAGGAGCAACAGGTGGATCTCCTGTACAAAGCTGTGTTCAACAGGAGCAACAGGTGGATCTCCTGTACAAAGCTGTGTTCAACAGGAGCAACAGGTGGATCTCCTGTACAAAGCTGTGTTCAACAGGAGCAACAGGTGGATCTCCTGTACAAAGCTGTGTTCAACAGGAGCAACAGGTGGATCTCCTGTACAAAGCTGTGTTCAACAGGAGCAACAGCAGGTTTCTGTTAACAGATGATCCACCTTGACTGATCCACTTTTATAAAATCTGGTTTAGTTTTTACAGACCTGCAGAGCAACGTGGCATCTTGTGAGCACCTTCCTGACGTTCAGCTCCGGCTCGTCTCTCCACAAGGTGATAAACGTGTTGACCTGTCGCTGCTCAGCTGAGTCTATGACATCATCACAGCTCAGGTATCTCTCCCACTGAACACAAGCACACTGTTTTAATCAACAGAGCACTCTGAAAGCTCAGAGGATCTGCTCACATGTTCTTTAAATACATCTCAGACTATTAATGAACACACCTTGGCTGCCTCCACTGCATCTCTTTCCCATTGGGTCGCTGCAGCGCGCCTCTCCTCCAGCAGGTGGCGCACTTCGTTCAGCTCATCTTCTCTGAGTTCAAGAGCCTCTCAGCAAAAACACATCCATGAACACAACTCGTAAATTCCTAAATAAAGCTCGTAATAAACATTCCTCCAAATCCTTTTTGAGCTTTTTAAAGATAACATGATTCATGATTGACACTTATCTGTCCTTGTGTTGTCTTTTTCAAATGTTTTCCATTGGAACGCCCACAATTCTTAGAAATTTCTCAGTATTAATCTCATTAAGGGGCCACTCTTTGCACCTTTTAATGAACACAAACTCTGGTTTTATGGTGTTTAGTGTCGGGATTCTACCTTCAACTGCAGGTTCTCCACCTCTGCCTGCTTTTTTTCTCTTCCCAGCCTCTCCTGCTC